TGATGATGATAGATGACTATGTTAGAAAGGATTAAAGTACGGAACAAGCAATACAGGTGCTAGAATGAACATCTAGGGGGTATTTCACATCAATTATTCATCAGTTATCAGTCGGCATACTTTAAAGGGATTCCACTGAGGTATTTTGACATGATGGGACTGAAAATATTTTTTCCATATAAATGTACCATTTGAGGTAAGTTTAGACCAATAATCTTTGTGCAATCTTTCAGATCATTCACGCACTTCCAGAATAATTATTCAAATTGTAACAAAATGACCCAAAATGTAAAGCTTTTAAACGCTTTTCACTCAAATCGGGCTAAGGAAAGCATAGAAATACGATTTTCAATTTATTTCAAAGTATATTTCTTAACTATCGTTGCATATATTTCTGTTTAATGTGCCCCAGCTCATTTATGCAAGAAATTAAAAAAAAGTTATGTTTTTAGGCTTTTAAACCTCAGTGGAGTTCCTTTAACAAGAAAATAGTGATATTATCTGTCCAAACCATCATAAACACACACCTTTTTTCTAATTTATTGAATGTATTCCACTTTTTTCTATTCATTCACAAATGTCACAGATATAAAATGTGTAGTATTATAAGGTTATTACACTTTGTTGAATACAACTCTGTTGCAAATGCTAAAAGTGCATTTTATGAATGTTTATCATGCTTCTTGTACTTCATGATTTCTATACAAAGTAAGGCCGTGTCTACACCTATTCAAGTTTCTTACATGTCACATTTAGATAAGCTAAATAAATGGCCCTTTCAACATTTTTTCAGGCACAATTTTTACTGAAATGTCTCATTAAGATAGCCCAGGATTTATACCTTTGTCTTTGCAAGACTATCATGTTTCTGTAAAATATGTGAAAAAAAGCGGGAAAATGATGCAATTAGCTAACACAGAATGGAGTAAAATTGAAAAAATGTGACAAAAATTTATTTTGATGCAAATTCTTTATTCGATGAAAGTTATTCACTAAATGAACAAGATCATTTTAAATCCATTTTGACTCTACTTGAAAAAGAGCTCTTTTTCATTTTTTACGATGTATTTATTTTTATTTATTTTATTTTTTTGCTCTTCTGTGTATCAGCGTATTGATTTGTTCCTTTGATCAAGACATTGTAATCATTTACTGAAATTCAAAGGACATGTACACTGAATCAACAACAAAAAGTCAGAAAATAATAAAAATAACAGCACTATCAAACTTTCGGGCACATGTTTTGTGTCACAGTGTCTTGACAGCCAAAAACTTGTAGAAAAATAGAACGTGTTCTAACTTTCTTGCAAGAAATTATCTTCATGGATGTCACATAATTTCTCGTTAAAAACCATTCAAGTAGGGTGTCTACACTATCCAATTCAAGAGAATATGATACTTGCATTCAAGACTTGGATAGGTGTAGACGGGCACTAAGTATTGTGCCTGCTTTTCCTCTAACAAGAAAGGCTGATCGGTGTTCCTGTATTTGTGTGCTCGTCGCAATCCCATTATGTTGGTTTTGTCATGGCGTGGCTCATATTAATCTTCGATCAATAGTTGGAAGGTTCGTGTGATGCACCCAATAAGATGTGTTTACATTAAAATAATTATATTGAGCGTTTTATAGTGCAATAATTTATTATGTTATATGTCATCCATGTGGTAAGATAGAGACCGCGTAGTTCTTTGTTGTTATTTTTTTCTTTCTTATTCATATTTTCAATATTATTGAAGCTATGATTGTTTTTAGTTGTTGTATTTGTTTAAACGCTTTTCATTTTGGATCATTTTTTACATTTTGAATAATTATTCCGGAAAAACAAAGTGCGCGAATGATTAGTGGTCTAAACCAACACCAAATGGTACATTTATCTGGAAAAAATATTTTCAGTCCCATCATGTCAAAAAAAAAACCTTAGTGGAGCCCTTTGATATGTTTTGCACTTTTTTGCTTTTAAAACATCATTACGGATAAATTATCGTAAAGGCAATAGACATAAAATATATGAAACCCCAGAAAAAGTCCATATAATACAATTCAAAACGAGACAAAACATTGTTTATGAGTTTGCAATAAATCGTCCAGTTCCATTAGTTTTAACATTTTTATTGTAGCGCGATTGCGGAACAAGTTCTTGCAATCCCAGTACTGGTGTCATTTTAGCCTTAAAACTGTGTACAGAACAAAACAACATACTAATACTTTCTGTGTCGTTTTCTTATTGTAACGGAAGAATATCGTGATACTATATTTTATCGTGTGAAATTTCGCGGCTCCAAACGGCATTTTATGAAGTGATAAAAGATTAATTGACTGTCATATTTACACATCTAATCATTGTAACAACAGAACCAATGACACGAAATTTTTGTCAAAACATCGGCTAGTATCTAAAGCCAGTTTTATACGAAAGCAAACAATTCATGTATCCGATTGAATCCGAATTTAACATTTTCAAATAGTTGACGCACACTTTTCTTTTACTTGTCTAAATTTCAAAGAAGCTTTAAACTTACAGCAAATAAAAAAATCAAACGCCACCAGCCAATTTGGCGCCAAATGATTTACTAAAGGATATAAATGATACTGTTAATATGTCTGTAGGAAGGTCAATTGTATGTATAAAGTGTGAAATGAAGACATAAGAAGATATTTTATCATGTTCTCTTTACTTCATATTATATTTCATCGCCGTTTTGACTGGAATTATTTTGTCACGGCAACAATATTATATAACATGCAGCTTTCACTTTCCAAAAATCTTTCAGCACGCATTGATGAGTGTACATATTTATATCATTATTATTTTATTATTATTATTATTATTATGATTATTATAAAGTATTAGTTGTGACAGATAATATTCTACCAATAAGTTTTAGAGCGGAGATTTTGTTTTACTTGTACATTTGATGGGAAAGTTTATATCCTACCTGCAAATTTAATGGTAAGGCTCTTTTACAATACGCCTTTTTTTAGATGAGAGTGTTTTTGTCCGGGGACAGCTCCCTGCACAGATAAATTTTGATATTGTGAAGAAATATAATAATTTCCGTTTCAAAGTCGGTAAAATGTCGTCTGCTTATGTTTTGCATATTCATATAGCGTATGAATATTGGCGGGAAAATGCTCCATTTTCTCGTGCTGAGTATAAAAGCACGCACCGGCGTGTTTTAGGCCATTCGAGGCTTTACATTGGTAGCGAAACATATCTTACTAGTATTTCCCTCCCACCCACCCAATTTATCTTAATTAGAACAGCTTATAACTGACAATTTTTGTTTCAATGTATATATAGACTGGATTTGTTAAAGTTTTAATAATAATTTTTTCGTTTCAGTTTTTCTTCATCCGATGCTTTCCGAGAGATAGATGTGGCTTTCGTCATTTTCTGGTTCTTCGATGTTCTTTATTTTTTGTGCATATAGAACTGATTTTCCAATTCGACGAATGCTTTATTCCATGATAGCGACGACGTATTACAGACGTCAGGCGATATATTAGCACAAATAATGAATTGTCGATATACCAATAATAAGCCATATTCCTACTTATGTCTTGTTTTCATATTAATTATATATTCAGTGAGGTTTTATCATTGTTAAGGATATTTACAGTTTGACGACTTTGATAAGGAAATAATTGTTTTACTCGCGTTTTAAGGGAGTAAATACCTTAACATGATTTTATTTAGAGTCTAATTAGATCCTGTAAACCATTGTATACGAATACTGTAGTCAATCTTGATTAGCAAAAAACGATGAACATTTATATAGGTGCGAAATTAATGGTAGATTCGCTGGATTGACTGAATTATACCTCGGAATCAGAAATTATAAACACATTCATTAATTCATTTTTTTAAGTATTTGTTCGAATTAAAAATAAATTTCATTGCTCATTTTCTTATCTTCAAGCTTGTAATTTAGAAAACATTTTACAAACAGGGAAAAGTCGTAACTCCTTTGTTAAATAGCTGTAATTCAGATATCAGTGTGAAAATAAATAAACATAACAAAATGTTATCAAACTAATTGTTATAAAAATAAGAATCAATAACTGTAGCATTTATTTTACTTTTCATGTTTCCATGTTTGCATATTTTTAAAAAAAATGTTCTTTTTTATGATGCGTTTAACAAAATAAATTGTGTGAACTGTGAAGACTACAGTCTGTCCAATGTAACATTATATACTAGGCCTACTAACATTTAGTAGATTTGTTGCTAATGAAGGTAAATAGGGGCTGGTGATTATCATATTTTATTAAAGGAAACAAAGACAGCAATATATATATGATAATAATAATGGCCTTAATGTACCCGGTAGTCCCCGTTTGTCGCCTAAAAAGACCAAATTGAAATAAACATTATTTTTATTTACATTTTATTGTTTGTAGGCTGTGAAATTCTAACAGTTTTCTAGTATAATTTTATGATTACTTTGAAGAGGACTACAATGTTAATCTGTCAAACACCTTTGTAACACTAACATTATTACATCATTAGTGTGAACTTATTGAATGTATACTCAATTTATATATAATAGTTGTCTTTGTAGACGATATGTCACAATAAAAGTCGCCTTAAACACAAACACCTGTGTAACACATTTCTTTTGTTCAAAACACTTTCTTTTATTTAAAAGATGTTTATGTCATGATTAGTGTTAGTAATAAATCAATTGTCCAGTAATGAAAATATAAATAAATAACTTATTGTTTATTTCGTTTATTTGTATCGACCGATTTTCGTTTATTTGTATCGACCGATTTTTTTTAAGAAAAGAAGCAAAGGCGAGGAAACAACAAGACTTTTCGAATCAACTACAGTTGCACAAACCTTTCACCCGCTTAAACTTTGAAAATAACTCATTAGAAAATATTTTGCTGAAATGATACGTATTTTTTTTTTAAAAATGATACAATTAATTAAGGGACATATCACAATTAATTTAGGGACATATCTACAACTAAAGGATTCAGTAATGTTTCCTACCTTATCGTTTGTGCTGTAATTGTTTAACTCATCAGCATGTAAATCTCTGTATTTGTCTGCTTCTAAATCTCCGTATTCGTCTGCTTCTAAACTATTTGAGGGGAACTGATGAATATCACTAACTTCTATACTCTCCTTATCTCTCATAGAATTGTCTCTTTGATGTATTCTTCCTCTTTTCCCTCGGCTTATCACCCTCGGAGGGTCCACAATAACATACATCAATATTAATACATTGAAAAAATTCTTAAATGATAAAAACTGCATATCTGACATCAATAAATACTATCCATATACATACTAAGTTATCACATTCATTTACTTAAAGTAAATTTTACTTGTTACAGGATGTATTATTTTCACATTATAAACTGTTTATCTTTCAAATATACATATTTTGATCTATATGTATCAAGAAAAAATAAAACGAACTTTCAACTTTTTTAATTCCTAGATGGTTTATAGAACGCCATGAAGATTTTTTATCTGAGGAAACTGCAGTTGATAAAACATAGATAACACTTTCAAAATTATCTTTATAAACTTTATCCTGGCGAATATTCTCTGATCTTATTTCAATCTAATGCTGAGAGAGTTCCTTGATCACAATTTTTATAATTGTAACATTTACAAATAAACGTCTGTCCGGTTATACATTTAGGTATATTTAAAATTTTAACAGTATTAAAGGCACATTTAACACTACCGTAAGTCCCTTTGATATACAATAAAAATATTGCAATCTCATTCCAAGCTCAGTTATTTTTTCCCTACTTCTTGTGTGAAAATATAAGCCTTCGTATCTCAAACTTTACAAAATTTAAGCTAAAAACTGACTTTTAGTCGCAAAACAAGTACTAGAGTAATAATCCAACTACTTCAAAACGGTAGAAAAAGTTTTAAGTGTTTGACACGGTGCTTAATTTGAGCTGCCCTATTGTCGTACAACGAAGAGGTTATTTATTTTGTGGATTCGCATGTTTAACGCTAATAGTTGAGGTTAAAAGATACTTTTGTTTGCGCTCCTCGCATGTTACGTTTTGTAAAATGCGTTCTTCAAATATTATTTACCGATTTTCTTAATCGACAAAATCACACTAACAAATAATTAGGGGTTTGTTTTTATTCAAGTAGCGAACCAGATCAGAATGCATAAAGATGGTCCACTTATTTAAACGCTTTTGATCTGATAAGGCGGAGATTTCGTTTCCAAACAAAACCCTAAAGTTACTACACCTTAAAGGATCTCACGAACCCTAAAATAATTATTAGACTTTTAAAAAAAGCAAGGATAATATGTTGCCTTGAAGAGAGATTGATTGGGTAAAAATAGAGATACTTATTTAATGCAATCTCTATGCTTAAATACATGACAGAATCTGTGATACGCCAGAAATAATAGTGTATATGACAGTGAGACAATCAACATGTTAAAGTATGAGACTGAGTTAGTGTGGTCCTCTGTATGTTAAAATATGTCATTGAGTCAATAAGGCCCTCAACATGTTAACGTATGTGACTGTGGCAACGTGGCCCTCATCGTGTTTAATTATGTGACTGAGTTAGTGTGGCCCTCAACTTGTTAAAGTATGTGATTGTGTCAGTGCGGCCCTAATTATGTTTAAGTATGTGACTGAGTCATGGGCACTCAACATGTTAAATATGTGACTGAGTCAGTGTGGCCCTCAACTTGTTAAAGTATGTGATTGTGTCAGTGCGGCCCTAATTATGTTTAAGTATGTTACTGAGTCATGGGCACTCAACATGTTAAAGTATGTGACTTAGTCAGTGTGGCACTCAACATGTTAAAGTATGTGACTGAGTCAGTGTGGCCCTTATTGTGTTAAAGTATGTGACTGAGTCAGTGTGACCCTCAACATGTTAAAGTATGCGATTGTGTCATTGTGGCCCTAATTATGTTAAAGTATGTGACTGAGTCAGTGTGGCACTCAACATGTTAAAGTATGTGATTGTGTCATTGTGGCCCTAATTATGTTAAAGTATGTGACTGAGTCAGTGTGGCACTCAACATGTTAAAGTATGTGACTGAGTCAGTGTGGCCCTTATTGTGTTAAAGTATGTGACTGAGTCAGTGTGACCCGCAACATGTTAAAGTACGTGACTGAGTCAGTGTGACCCTCAACATGTTAAAGTATGTGACTGAGTCAGTGTTGCCCAAATTATGTTAAAATATGTGACTGAGTCGGTGTGGCACTCAACATGTTAAAGCATGCGATTGTGTCATTGTGGCCCTAATTATGTTAAAGTATGTGACTGAGTCAGTGTGGCACTCAACATGTTAAAGTATGTGATTGTGTCAGTGTGGCCCTAATTATGTTAAAGTATGTGACTGAGTCAGTGTGGCACTCAACATGTTAAAGTATGTGACTGAGTCAGAGTGGCACTCAAGATGTTAAAGTATGTGATTGTGTCATTGTGGCCCTAATTATGTTAAAGTATGTGATTGTGTCAGTGTGGCATTCAACATGTTTAAGTATGTGACTGAGTCAGTCTGGCACTCAACATGTTAAAGTATGTGACTGAGTCGGTGTGGAACTCAACATGTTAAAGTATGTGACTGAGTCAGTGTGGCCCTCAACATGTTAAAGTATTTGATTGTGTCAGTGTGGCCCTAATTATGTTAAAGTATGTGACTGAGTCAGTGTGGCCCTAATTATGTTAAAGTATGTGACTGAGCCAGTGTGACCCTCAACATGTTAAAATATGTGACTGAGTCGGTGTGGCACTCAACATGTTAAAGTATGTGACATGTTAAAGTATGTGATTTTGTCAGTGTGGCTCTAATTATGTTAAAGTATGTGATTGTGTAAGTATGGCCCTAATTATGTTAAAATATGTGACCGAAGCAGTGAGGCCCTCAACAAGTTAAAGTATGTGACTGAGTTAGTATGGCACTCAACATGTTCAAGTATGTGACTGAGTCAGTGTGGCCCTAATTATGTTTAAGTATGTGACTGAGTTAGTGCGGCCCTAAACTTGTTAAAGTATGTGATTGTGTCAGTGTGACATTAATTATGTTTAAGTATGTGACTAAGTCAGAGTGGCATTCAACATGTTAAATATGTGACTGAGTCAGTGTGGCCCTCAACTTGTTAAAGTATGTGATTGTGTCAGTGTAGCCCTAATTATGTTTAAGTATGTGACTGAGTCAGTGTGGCCCTAATTATGTTAAAGTATGTGATTGAGTCAGTGTGGCCCTAATTATGTTAAAGTATGTGACTGAGTCAGTGTGGCCCTAATTATGTTAAAGTATGTGACTGAGTCAGTGTGGCCCTCAACATGTTAAAGTATGTGATTGTGTCAGTGTGGCCCTAATTATGTTAAAGTATGTGACTGAGTCAGTGTGGCCCTCAACATGTTAAAGTATGTGATTGTGTCAGTGTGGCCCTAATTATGTTAAAGTATGTGACTGAGTCAGTGTGGCCCTTATTATGTTAAAGTATGTGACTGAGTCGGTGTGGCTCTAAATTATATGAAAGTATGTGATTGAGTCAGTGTGGCCCTAATTATGTTAAAGTATGTGACTGAGTCAGTGTAGCCCTAATTATGTTAAAGTATGTGACTGAGTCAGTGTGGCCCTTATTATGTTAAAGTATGTGACTGAGTCGGTGTGGCTCTAATTATATGAAAGTATGTGATTGAGTCAGTGTGGCCCTAATTATGTTAAAGTATGTGACTGAGTCAGTGTGGCCCTAATTATGTTAAAGTACATGATTGTGTCAGTGTGGCCCTAATTATGTTAAAGTATGTGACCAAGTCAGTGAGGCCCTCGCCATGTTATAAAACATGTGACTGAGTTATTGTAGCACTCTAGAAGTTGAAGTATGTGACTGAGTCAGTATGGCCCTCAACATGGAAAGTATGTGACTGAGTTAGTGTTACCTTCAACATGTTCAGGTATTTAAGTGAGTTAGTGTAGCCCTAATTATGTTAAAGTATGTGACTGAGGCAGTGTGGCACACAACATGTTAAAGTATGTGACTGAGTTAGTATGGCCCTCAACATGTTAAAACATGTGACTGAGTCATTGTAGCACTTAACAAGTTGAAGTATGTGACAAAATCAGAGTGGCCTTATTCATAATAAAGTATGTGACTTATTCAGTGCAGCCCTCTACATGTTGATGTGACTTAATCACAGTAGCCCTCTACATGTTGATGTAACTAAATCAGTGCGGCCCTCTACATGTGGATGTGACTTAATCACAGTGGCCCTCTACATGTTGATGCAACTTAATCACAGTGGCCCTCTACATGTTGATGTGACTTAATCACAGTGGCCCTCTACATGTTGATGTAACTAAATCAGTGCGGCCCTCTACATGTGGATGTGACTTAATCACAGTGGCCCTCTACATGTTGATGCGACTTAATCACAGTGGCCCTCTACATGTTGATGTGACTTAATCACAGTGGCCCTCTACATGTTGATGTGACTTAATCACTGTGGCCCTCTACATGTTGATGTGACTTAATCACAGTGGCCCTCTACATGTTGATGTGACTTAATCACAGTGGCCCTCTACATATTGATGTGACTTAATCACTGTGGCCCTCTACGTGTTGATGTGACTAAATCAGTGCGGCCCTCTACATGTTGATGTGACTTAATCACAGTGGCCCTCTACATGTTGATGTGACTTAATCACAGTGGCCCTCTACATGTTGATGTGACTTAATCACAGTGGCCCTCTACATATTGATGTGACTTAATCACTGTGGCCCTCTACATGTTGATGTGACTAAATCAGTGCGGCCCTCTATATGTTGATGTGACTTAATCACAGTGGCCCTCTACATGTTGATGTGACTAAATCAGTGCGGCCCTCTATATGTTGATGTGACTTAATCACAGTGGCCCTCTACATGTTGATGTGACTTAATCACAGTGGCCCTCTACATATTGATGTGACTTAATCACTGTGGCCCTCTACATGTTGATGTGACTTAATCAGTGTGGCCCTCTACATGTCGATGTGACTTAATCACAGTGGCTCTCTACATGTTGATGTGACTTAATCACAGTGGCCCACTACATGTTGATGTGACTTAATCACAGTGGCCCTCTATATGTTGAAGTATGTGACTAAATCAGTGCGGCCCTCTACATGTCATGTGACTTAACACGGGCCTCATGCGACTAAACATTGGCATAATGTGATGTGAATTATAGTGGCATAGAATTTGACTATAGTCGGACTAATTCATTGAACATGCACTCAAGTATGTGACAGAGCTTGTGGGACATTCAACATGTTCAAGTATGTGACAAAGCATGTGAGAAACTCAACATATTTAAGAATGTGACAAAGCATGTGAGACCCTCAACATGATAAAGTATGTGACAGAGCTTGTGGGACATTCAACATGTTAAAGTATGTGACAAAGCATGTGAGACACTCAACATATTTAAAGAATGTGACAAAGCATGTGAGACACTAAACATGATAAAGTATGTGACAGAGCTTGTGGGACATTCAACATGATAAAGTATGTGACAAAGCATGTGAGACACTCAACATATTTAAGAATGTGACAAAGCATGTGAGACACTAAACATGTTAAAGAATGTGACGGAGCTTGTTGGACATTTAACATGTTAAAGAATGTGACAAAGCATGTGAGACACTCAACACATTAAAGAACGTGACAAATCATGTGAGACACTCAACATATTAAAGAACGTGACAAATCATGTGAGACACTCTTTATGTTAAGGTATGTTACAAAGCATGTAAGACACTCAACATATTAAAGAACGTGACAAAGCATGTGAGACACTAAACATATTAAAGAACGTGACAAATCATGTGAGACACTCTTTATGTTAAGGTATGTTACAAAGCATGTGAGACACTCAACATATTAAAGAACGTGACAAAGCATGTGAGACACTAAACATGTTAAAGAACGTGACAAATCATGTGAGACACTCTTTATGTTAAGGTATGTTACAAAGCATGTGAGACACTCAACATATTAAAGAACGTGACAAATCATGTGAGACACTAAACATATTAAAGAACGTGACAAATCATGTGAGACACTCTTTATGTTAAGGTATGTTACAAAGCATGTGAGACACTCAACATATTAAAGAACGTGACAAATCATGTGAGACACTAAACATATTAAAGAACGTGACAAATCATGTGAGACACTCTTTATGTTAAGGTATGTTACAAAGCATGTGAGACACTCAACATATTAAAGAACGTGACAAATCATGTGAGACACTAAACATGTTAAAGAATGTGACAGAGCATGTGAGACACTCTTTATGTTAAGGTATTAGATGCCTTATGCAGAACCTCCGTTCTGAAGAGTATTCATTTTCAGTGAGGACACAGAGTCTTGATAGTGCGTGGATTCAAACCTGAGAAGAGGCAGTTTTTTCTTAATTTTTTTTCTTTTTTTTTTTGTTTGGCCAGATTTTGATAACTTTTCTCTTTTTTTTATATAAAAACTAGAATTAAGAAAAAATTAAATTGGATACGGTAACAACTTAAAATGATTATAATTTGAAATCGGCATGGTAAACTTTCTTTATATTTTTCACAAATATTTGATTTATATCAAGATAATCATTATTAAATAATATTTTGATGCCTCTACTTTATATTACAAAATCTAACAGGTTTTCTTACCCCATCATCTTCTTATTTGAGTACCTGTCTTAATAAACCAAAAAAACCTTTTCAGAGACATTTGTGATTAGTTTTATTTGTAGTTATTAAAAAAAAAGCTATGGTTCTTTATTAGTCACATAACTAAGAAAAATATGAAACTTGCAAAACTTTCCTTCAGATAATGAAAACAAATTCTTTGTTATTATTGTATAAAACTGATACAAAAGATACACTTCAATTGTTATAAAGATGGTAAACTTTTGTAGTTTTTTTGTATTTATGTCCAGAATATAGAACAGTTTATTAAAATAAAGTTGTAAATGCCTTTCAAAAAAGTGTTAATTATACATCTAATACCTTAAACTTTGTGACAGTCCAAATGTGTAAGGCATTTTCATGATTATTCAAAAGAATACACTAAATTTATCTAAAATTTGATGTATGGAAACTCCACTCTTCATAAGTACAAAACTTAAGCCTTAAAATAAATTTGACATTGTGAGTACAAGGATGGAATTAAACAAACATTTTAAAATTTTAGATGTTTTATTCTCTGATTTACTTAAATAATAATTTATACAAACAGATATTTGAATTGTTCATTAATATATTGTTTAAGATATTTGAATGTGATTAGCAAACATCTTTTTCAGAAATAATATTTCTCAATATATTAGCAAAACAAGAGCCACTGCTAGGCGGGGCAATGCTCCACCTTTAAAGTTTTCTAAAAAGCAAACCTATAAATGGTTAAAACAAATCTTAAAAAAGAAAATTAAAGAAAAAAAGTTTTTCCTTTTTTAAATTTTTTTAACAGGGGTGTCTAGGGCAGGGCCAATTTTAACCCCAGGGCTGTAATGTGATTATATCTTATATTGTATGTTACAATAATATAATTAACATTTGAGCCGTACATCCGCGCAGTCTGATCAGGATCCATGCTGTTCGCTTACCAACCCTATTACAAGTAGAGAAACTGATAGCGAACAGCATGGATCCTGATCAGACTGCGCGGATGCGCAGGCTGGTCTGGATCCATGCTGGTCGCAAACGCACTATGTTGGTTTTGTCGTGACGCGGCTCATTTACAAAATAATGATAATCTGAATAATTACAAAGAAATTCAAGAAGAAACATTAAGAATAAGATTTCTCTGAATATTACATATACAATAATACATGTATATAAAAAAATAATTTTATATTATATATAAATAATATAGATATGATCTAAAGTAGGGACTTAAAAATGAGTAGATATTTGAAATCATTGATTATTTTTAGAGAAAACTATAGCTAACTGTATACTTTATAACAAATTCATACAACACTCAACATCACTTATACATGGGAACTAAATATGGGTAAAAAAGGTCAGAAGGACATGGAGTGGTGATTTAAAAAATATAGGTAAAGTAAGTTAAAATGTGGAGAAATATGACATTTGATACAGCAGAAACTACTAGGAAATACAGTACAAACAATTTCAGTTATTTAAATATGAGTTAATATGCAAAATAATGCTGTTAACATAAACTTTATCAGTAGAATGACTTCTTAAAATTGATGAGAATTTTCTTACTAGAATTATCATTATTTTATATGTTTTGTTTTTCCCAGTAACAGAATCAACATAAGTAACATATCTGTCAACTTTCAACATTATTCAACAAATTTCCATAAAAAAGCAATCAGTTAATTGTAATAAGTATAGTACAATTGTAAGTGGAGATAGACAGTTAATTAATACCAAGTACATCAAGATGTTATTTTAATACTAACTAAAATCAATTCAAAAATCCATATCTGACTTTATTTATGGTTAAAGACAAGTGTATCATAACAATATATTGAGGATAATTAATATACATAAACATTTACTATATTATAACAAATATCACATGCATATGAAACACACACAAATGCAACAAAAATACTCAATGTAGAACTATATTTATCAAGGAGTATGTTTCATACTACCCTAGTATTGAAAAGCTTATTTGAATGGGGTCAAATTACTGTAAAGTAAAATGACAAATTAAATAATTTAAATGAAATAAGATTGAGTATCAGTTAGTTATTGTTCAGCTAAACACTGTAGTCAGGAGTCAGTCTCTAGTATTTTACCACAGCAGTTGAAACATAAATTGTGTAAATAAAAACAGTAATGTTATTATAGACAATTACTTAATATTTAATCTGGCTACACCTTTAACACAATATGTAAAAAAACCTGCTACCATTTTCAAGCACATGATTTGTGTAAAAAAATTTGTAAATTGCATTATTAAAGTATTGTCGTAACAAAGTTATGTATTATGTATATAAAACATATATATTCATTTATTTCAACAATTTATTTCAAGAATTTTGTGAAGTAAAAACTCATTTACTTTATGTATGTCATTTAAGATGTTTAACAAGCACATTTCAAGTGATATCATTATACAGCACATATATGAGAAGTATTATCATGGTAAGAACTGTGTAGTTTTGTCTATGCTGAATATGTAGAAGATGACACATTGCCGCCATGACCTGTCCAGTTGGTGTGTATAAACTCTCCTGGTTTATCCAGTAACTCGTATGTATGTGCACCAAAATAGTCTCTCTGTGCCTAAAGGTGATAAAACAATGAGTTATAACTACAGTTAATACATTTCTACAACAGTTTATACATAGTTACATCTGGCATGAAACAAGATATGTAAGTTTTACAGAAGTTGTATTCTCTTTCACTTCACTTATTTGCTGTATACATTAAAATTTTAAAATAAAAACATTTAATCCAAATATTATATTTTTATAGAGTAAAGTCAATAACCGAGTTTTTTATGGTTTGGTTTAACGTAACATCAACACATTAAATGTCAAATGGAGACTTGAATAGAACCACTAACATTCTGTAAGCTAGCTGGATAGCTACCTCACATGGAAGAATCCAAAATCCCTGTTGGTGAGGGACAAGTGGTTTGAAGTCAACAACCTTCACCATTCAGCCACAATGATGCCCCTTATAACCAAGTAAAGACAATAAAAAATTTAAAGAGAAAAGGGATCTCTAAAAAATTTCTACACATAAAACAGAAAATGAAAGAACTAGTTATAATTATTAATACAGGTACCTGTAACAGGTTTGCAGGTAGTCTTGCAGATCTGTAGCCATCAAAGAAAGCTAGGGCAGTGCTGAATGCCGGGGTAGGTATACCATGTAACACTGCTGTAGATACTACATTCCTCCATGCTGCCTGATATACAATAATATAGGGTTAACACATGTTTTTCCGGGCCCAACAACAAAATTTCGAATTTAAAATTGATTTAACAAAGGTTTACATTGGAGATTTATTATCTCAAGAAAAAAACATTAAATTACTCATCCTAATACAAAACATGACCCTCAGAAATTCCTAGAATGATTTCAGTTTGACAGTAGTACTAAAAAGATCAGAATCGTTTTTTTTTTCCCCAAGCACACAAGTTTATAAAAACAAAAGGGCCATGATGGCCCTGAGGTCGCTCACCTGTATATAGGCCCCTGGAGCAGGGCCAGTTTAAACCCCAGGGCTTTTATTTGAACAACTTTGGAAGACACCCATTAGAAGATGTTTCTTGATGTTTAAGTTTTTACTACACATATATATAATGAAAAAACAATGACCTCTGCCCCCCCCCCCCCCACCCTACCAGCTCCCTCCCTCCCGGCAGGGCCAATTTTTACCCAAGGGCTTTTATTTGAACAAACTTGGTAGACACCCATAAGAAGATGTTTCATGCTAAACATCTAAGCTCTAGCTCATTGGGTTTTTTAAAAGAAGATTTTTTAAGTTTTTACTATATACATATAGTTAAAAACAATGACACCCCTGGGGCATGGCCAGTTTTGACCCCAGGGCTTTTATTTGAACAAACTTTGTAGACACTTACCAGAAGATGTTTCATGCTTAATATCTAAACTCTAGCTAATTGGGTTTTTTCAAAGAAGATTTTTAAGTTTTTGCTATACACATATAAGGAAAATCAATGACCCCCTGGGGCGGGGCCAATTTTGACCCCAGGGCTTTTATTTGAACAAACTTGGTAGACACTCATTAGAAGATGTTTCATGCTAAATATCTTAGCTCTAGCTCTTTGAGTTCTTTAAAAGAAGATTTTTTAAGTTTTTACGAAAAAAAAAATTGATAATCATAACAATTGTACATAAATAATGTTCAGGTGTGAAACACTTCAAGTACGAAATTAACTGGGTACAAATATCACTCATGTGGTTATACTTGGTTTTTATCGCATATCACTTATCAATGGCATTTCTGTTTTTGTTAACCTTTAAATTTGCCGATTTTTGAGGAAATTTTCACTGTTATTTCGGGAATTATCAGTCATAAATTGGAAAATTTGTTGTCTATTTTCTATTGGGAACGGTGCAGTTATATAAGGGAAAAAAACACTGAAACAAGCCAATCATCAATTTTTTTGCTTGTTTACTGGGCCCTGTATGTATTGCGTGTAGATAAAACCAGGCTATAACAAGAGCGTGTCACTATATTAACACATGGTTTTGGTCCCGTTATAACATGGGTAAAAGAGGGGAAAATAGCCAATTTTATGCTATAATAAACATTATCATCAAACCCACATAGAAAACCTCACTGAGTCTTCATCAAAGTTAGTAATTTTCTCCATAAACATATAGATGAACACCACCAGACACCTTTACCTCCATGTTGTTTTTTTTACAAATCAAAATAGTTTGATCAATCTTGTGTTGACCTAAGAAGTATTTCTATTAAATTAGATTAAAGTCTGGTGAAAAGTTTTATCTATTCAAAGATCTCTCTTTATACAAATATATAAGTGACCCCCACTGTATAAATGTCATGTTTTTTGGGAGATTTAATTTATTTTAGTATCTTGATACATGGTTCCCCAATGATCATTCTTGTGAAAAAATATCAAAATCTGATAGACATTACTTCACATGAGGATTTCAAAAGACCATGCTCCTAGTGGCCATGTTTTTAAAGAATCAGAATCTGCATGTTTATAGATGGTCACAAAAAGATCATTTAATGCACAGATTTTATTCACAATGTTTTAGTTTTCATCATTATTTGCAATTTCATTACCTTGCAAAGTCTAATATTTCATAAAAATTTCAAACTTAAAAACAGAGCTTTTGTTTGTAATGAAGAATGACTGTACACATTACCTGTTCAATTTGATGTTGAAATAAATAAATGACATAGAAAATTGTTTATCTACATTAAGGCCAGTCTGTTACAACTACACCTATTGTACAACATAAAATATTATAACACTAGTGTTTGTTTGATTGGGTTTTACGTCACATCGACACAGTATAGGTCATTTGGCAAGGTTTCAGCTTTCCTGGTGGAGGAAGACCTCAGGTGCCCTTCCCTGAATTATTTCAGGCACAAACGGGCACCTGAGTAGAACCACCGACGTTCCGTAAGCCAGCTGGATAGCTTCCTCAAATTAAAGAATCCAAAGTCCCTGTCGGAATTCGAACCCACAGCGGTGAGAGGCAAGTGAACACTAGTGTTATATTTTACAACTCTTTTAAGTATAAAAGTACAATCTATTGTTTAATACATGTTAATTGTTGATACACATAATGTTAATGTTATTCATTTGCAAAAACGTTCCCAAAACCTTTTCAATAAATTAGAGCTAAATGTGATTTTACTATACTAACCTGACTTTTCTGTATCTCTGCTTTAAAGAAATCATCCAGTAACAGATTGCTAAGGTCTGGGTTTTTTTCAAAAGCTTGTTTGATATTTCCCAAGAATCGGCTAAAAATAGAACAGAAAAATGAGCTTGCTAATTGACTGCTGGTTATTTAGTATAATACAAAAACATACAAAAACTTCTAGAAACATGTCAAAATATCAGGTTTTAGGGCCACTGTCTAAAAAAACAATCAAATATTTATTTTTGCAAATATTAAAACTAGAAGGGTTTTTGTCACAAAAACATAAATAAATTATGTCTCCCACAACTGTGTATCCTGTATATTTTGGTAGAAATCCCGGCAGCAGTTTGACCTGTGATATAGCAGGACAGGATTTTTCTATTTTTAGCTCTGGCTGCCATTTTGTGCAGCAAAGCAGGACATGCTGGTGATATGCACAACAAGGGATGGTAATGATCCCTCATGTGAAGTTTCATTGAAATCTCACAAGAAGCTTGATCTGTGAAAGCTTGACAAGATTTTTCTATTTATAGTTCTGACTGCCATTTTGTGCAGCAAAGCGGAACATGCTGTGATATGCACAACTAGGCCTGTGAATTTTGGTGGAAATTACGCCAGCAGTTTGACCTGTGATAGCCAGACAGAATTTTGTTTTTTTTAAGCTCAGGCAGTCATTTCGTGCAGCAAAGCGGAACATGCCGGTGATATTGACCAGAAGTAATGGTACTGATCACTCCTGCAATGTTTGATTGAAATCCCACCAGTAGTTTGACCTGTGAAGGCTGGATAAGAGATTTTTCTATTTTTAGCTCTTGTGGCCATTTTGTGCAGCAAAGCGGAAACGTGTCGGTAATGTGCACAACTAGGGTTGGTACTGATCACTCCTGCAATGTTTGATTGAAATCCCACCAGTAGTTTGACCTGTGAAGGCTGGATAAGAGATTTTTCTATTTTTAGCTCTTGTGGCTATTTTGTGCAGCAAAGCGGAACATGTCGGTAATGTGCACAACTAGGGTTGGTACTGATCATTCCTGTAAAGTTTGGTTGAAATCCGGCCAGTACTTTGACCTGTGAAAGCCGAACAAGATTTTTCTATTTTTAGCTCTTGTGGCCATTTTGTGCAGGGCAACCTGAATAAATGATGCTCATTTGACATTTCAATGTTTTTAAATAACACTATTTCTGCACTTAAACACAGGAGAAGTTTCTTTATATATATACATGTATATTGATCACATGGTATTGAACAACTTAATCCAAAGGGAGGTTATAAAAGTTATATTCTGAGTCAACTAGAGCAGGTACTTATATATTGTCTGTTAGCTACCTTCTTATTATACACCCTCCTCTCCACATTAAAGCTATACCACCAAAGTTGAGTTTCCAGCCTAATTCTTTAGCTGTTTCTCTCATCAACATGAAGCCCTGAGCATATGACACAATCTTAGAGGCATATAAGGCCTGTCGAATGTTGTCAATAAATTGTTTCTTGTCCCCTTTAAACTTTAGTGCATCTGGTCCTTTTAATTGGGAACTGGCATGAACCCTTTCTGCTTGTAATGCTGATAAACATCTTGAAAATACTGCTTCACCTGAAACAACATGTTCACTCACATATTCATAAGCACTAAAATAAATACAAGCAAAACATTGATATGCATAAAGTCAGTGAAGAAAAATTGGAAACAAGATTGCATTTGAGAAAAATGCTATGCCACCGCATTAATACAACACTAAATAGTAGTATAGGAACAGATTTTTTTTGTTTCTATACAATTTTGAAGATTGTCATAATGCATAGATCCCTGACCTATCTAATTCTTATTATCAGATTAGTGGTTAAATCTGTTGTTAACTCAATAAAAGATCAGAGTAGGAATATATCAATGCACTCGAGTATAGTGAATTTGGTGGTGAAGGTCATATTTCACACAGCCTAAATTTCATGACTACATCAAAGGACAACACAGTAAGACACTTTGTCAAAATCTAGGTCAGCTGAAATCAAAGTTCGCTTTACATCTTAATCTGTGCACATGGTTCAAATTTCATAGCTGTACACCAAAGGACAAGAAAGTAGGTCACATCATCAAAATCTAATTCACCTGATATCAAAGTTCAATTTTACAACTAAAACTGTGCACATGGTCAAAATTTCATTGCTGTACATCAAAGGACAAGAAAGTAGGTCACTGTCCCCTCGGGCAAGGCAAAATTTTGGACCCAAGGGTTTAATTCAAAACAATCTTGACACAGGTCCACCAAACAACATTTCAAGTCAAATATCTAAGCTTTCTCCCATTCGGAAACATTTGTTTTATTTTCTGTTTTTACTATGTGTACATAATGAGAATCACTGCCCCCTCTGGGTCAATTTTGACACCAGAGGAAAATTTGAACAACTTTGGTAGAGGACCTATAGATGATATTATATAGCAAACATCAAAGCTTAATGCCTTGTACCTTCTGACAAAAATATTTTTTTTTTTTTTTACTACATGTACACAATGAAAATCAATGACACCCTGGGCGGAACCAATTTTGACCCCAGGGCTATAATTTGAACAATCTTGGTAAAGGTGCCCTTTGCAAAGTCTCATGCCATATATTTAACCTCTAGCCTTTGTCAATTCAGAGAAGAAGATTTTTCAATTCAGAGAAGAAGATTTTTCAAGTTTTTACTTTATACATATAAGGAAAATTATCGCCTATGGGCAGGGCAATTTTAACACTAGGGGCATAATTAAAACAACTTTAGTAGAGGACCCAATACCAAAATATCAAAGCTCTAAGCCTTGTACCTTCAGACAAGAAGAGTTTTTAATTTTTTTACTATATGTACATAGTGAAAATCAATGACCCCTGGGGGTGGGGCCAATTTTGACCCCAGGGCTATAATTTGTACAATCTTGCTAGAGGTTCACTACATAATGTTTTCATGCAAAATATCTTAACTCTAGCCTTTGAAAATTTAGAGAAGATGATTTTTTAAGTTTTTACTATATACATATAAGGAAAACCTATGGCCCCCGGGGCGAGGCTAATTTTGACACTAGAGGCAAAATTTGAACAACTTTGGTAGAGTACCTATAGATGATTTCATTTAACAAATATTAAAGCTCTAAGCCTTGTACCTTCAGACAATAAGTTTTTTTGATTTTTTACTATATATATGTTATATATTGAAAATCAATGACCCCTGGGGCCGGCCCGATTTTGACCCCAGGGCTATAATTTGAACAATCTTGCTAGAAGTTCACTTCACAATGTTTCATGCAAATCTAACCTCTAGTGTTTGTCAATTGCTAGAAGAATTTTTTTTAAAGTTTTTCCTAAAAGTGTTTACTACATATAAGGAAAACCAATGACCCCGGGGCGGGGCCGATTTTGACCCCAGGGCTATAATTTGAACAATCTAGGTAGAGGTCTACCAGACAATGCCTTATACAAAATATCTAAGCTCTAGGCCTTTTGGGTCTTTACAAGAAGGTATTTTAAGTTTTTACTATATGTACATATAGTGAAAATCAATGACCCCTGGGGCCGGCCCGATTTTGACCCCAGGGCTATAATTTGAACAATCTTGGTAGAGGTCTACCAGACAATGCCTTATGCAAAATATCTCAGCTCTAGAACTTTTGGGTCTTTACAAGAAGGTATTTTAAGTTTTTACAATATGTTCATATAGTGAAAATCAATGACCCCGGGGCGGGCCGATTTTGACCCCAGGGCTATAATTTGAACAATCTAGGTAGAGGTCTACCAGACAATGCCTTATACAAAATATCTAAGCTCTAGGCCTTTTGGGTCTTTACAAGAAGGTATTTTAAGTTTTTACTATATGTACATATAGTGAAAATCAATGACCCCTGGGGCCGGCCCGATTTTGACCCCAGGGCTATAATTTGAACAATCTTGGTAGAGGTCTACCAGACAATGCCTTATGCAAAATATCTAAGCTCTAGGCCTTTTGGGTCTTTACAAGAAGATTTTTTTAATTTATTCTTATAATTCCTTTTGGTTGCCATGGCAACCAGATTTCTGCATGGAATGAAATTCTTTGAACAACTTTGGAAGCCCTTCACCCCAGGATCAATCCTGCCAAGTTTGGTTGAAATTGGACAACTGGTTTTTCACAAGAAGATTTTTAAGTTCACTATATAATCTATATAACACACACACACACACACAAACAAACACACAGGTGAATCGCTATATGCCACCGCATCGCAGATGCTGCGGTGGCATAAAAACACTTGATGCATTACTCAATAAATGAAACAGGAAAACACAAAACTTATCAATTAATGTAAAAAAAGAACACAAAACTTTTAAACATTAATGTGACATAAACACAAAACTTACCAATTAATGTAACATAAACACAAAACTTACCAATTAATGTAACAGGAACACAAAACTTACCAATTAATGTAACATAAACACAAAACTTACCAATTAATGTAACATAAACACAAAACTTACCAATTAATGTAACAGGAACACAAAACTTACCAATTAATGTGACATAAACACAAAACTTACCAATTAATGTAACAGGAACACCATATTCTAAAGAGGCTATTGCTGTCCACTTGCCAGTACCCTTTTGGCCAGCAGTGTCACGAATTTTCTCTAGAAGATATTTCCCATCAGAGTCCTTGAACTTCATAATGTCACGAGTGATTTCAATGAGGAAGGAGTCTAAATCACCTTTATTCCAATCATCAAACACCTGTTAAACATTAAATCTTCATGAGCATTACAAAACTTTAAACATTATGATATATTTTAACATTTTACATTGTACTTTGTATGAATTTATGGCTCTTACAGACTGTTCATCTTAAAATAACTAAATGCCCATAACTAAACAACACCTGTGGATTATTTATGTCATTTAAGATTCATTATGCCTTGTCAATATACATTCATGCCAATTTTGATTTAAAACAAGTTCATTTAATGATTTTTTGTCCCTGAATAGATTTTATTTCAAAAAGAAGTAGTTATTTCTGGGTAATGAAGGGTAAAATTCAATAATAAAAATTATGAAAAAAAAATCATGTCAATGAAATTTTAATATAAATGACATTTAAGTATAACGCCAAATATTTTAAAACCCAGCATATTCAGTAAAGATTATATACAGCAACTCCCCAGCTTTACTGGTGGTGGAATACTTCTGGTTCCTGTTTGTGCATTTCTTCTGGGATGACTGATCACCCAAGTAGAGCTACCAACCTTCTGTATGTTAAGATAAATAGCTTCTTAACATAAAGGAACCCAAAGTCCCTGTCACAGGGACCAACAACAGTGACAAACTAGATTTTTGAAGTCAGCACTCAGTAACATAAGGTCCAAAATGTCTGATTTTACTCAAATTTATTACATTGCTTTCCATTGGACAGTGAAGTTACAGTGAAATAATAAAATATAATTTTTAAAGTAGATGGACTATATAAGAATGTGTATAAAAGAGTATATTTCAAATAAATGGAATATTATTTGAAATACCCAGTATACTCTGTTGTGCTTAATTCATGAGCACAACAATATCTACAGATATCACTTTAAAAATGTTACATAATTTGTAAAATTTTACAATATTATTACAGAACAATTAGACAGGTAAAATATGATTTATTATGTAAACCTGTGCCATTTCATCCTGAGACAGTCCTAGGATATCTTTCATCAGGTGGTAAGATTCACATATCAGCTGCATGTCACCATATTCTATACCATTGTGAACCATCTTAACAAAATGTCCTGCTCCCTCAGGTCCTACCTAACAATACATAAAAATTATATCGTATAGATATCTTGAATTTTCATTTGTTGACAGACTGTAACATGTAAAACACTAATCCTTTTTTATTTGGCCTGTGATCAAATACTAAAATTTAACCCCCTTGAAAATGACTCTGGGAACATGTAATTAATAACCCATCCACATTATAAAAAATGACCTTTGATGAAATCTAATAAACTATTATTAAGACAGGTCATATATCTATGTTGAACAAGAGCCACTGCCGGGCTCAGGGGCAACACTTGACTTTTTCTAAAAGCAAACAAAGTAACGGTTGAAACAAATCTTAACGAAAAAAGTTAAGTTTTCCTTTTTATAAATTTTAATAGGTCTATCTAGGCACACTAGTTTTGTCCAAATATGAATCCTTTCCGTAAATAAATGACAATATTATGAAAATATAATCAAAATTCAAACATTTGACGGTCAAGGTCACTTAATGGTCAAGGTAATATCTCAATTATTCCATATGTCTGTTAAGTCATAAGTGTTATTTTATCTACAGATGAATCAAATCTGTACATAAACAACAAAATTATGAAAACTTAACCAAAATTAAATACTTGGCGGTCATTAGGTCATCTAAAGCTCAAAGCCGAAGTCAGTTCAATTCTGAAATTATTTTCATTTTTAACCTTGCATTGAATAGAATGGATCAATTTAAAACCCTTTTTTCTAGTTATTTATGTATTTTGTTTCACATTCAGTAATTCTTTTTTAACAGAACAGCTTGTGACTTGATTTTATTAAAGCTCAAAAATGCCAACACTCATTATTTAATTTGTTTCGATGGTTGCACTGACTATATATAATGAAAATTGATATAAAAATTCAGTTACATGAAAATGTCAAATGATAGATTATATATATTGTGTAGGAAGCTTCAATTAAGCTAAACTACATATATCTGATGTTTTCAGAATGGACTTTGTGACTGTTGAAGATGATATCGAAAAATGTCAATAAATAGGCTAAGGATTCCGCCACTGTTTTGCACAATTATTTGTGCAAATAAACATAGCACTTATACTTTATGAGTTATAAAAGACAGAATATGCTAATATTTGTAAATCAGGGGTCATAACTCTACTAATCTCCAAGATGGGTAAATTCACATGATGATAAAATTTGATATTCATTAACAATTTCATTGCAATAGCGGGTGTATTTTTGGAGTTACATGCAAAACAAATATTACTAGAAATGAAAAAAAAATGAAACTTTAATTATATAATCCCACTTAAAGTCAAGTCAAGTGTTACAAGAAAACAGAATGTAATTATCATGACTCATAAGTTTTACAAACCGTGAAACTTTTCTACTTGGTTAGATAAGTATTTTGTTTTTCATCACTGTGACTTTGACCTGATTACCTCAAATTAAATTGGGTCATATTTTAGTCACTACCAACCTCAGAGCTTAATCATAGGACTGAAGATCAAAGTTTTTCTCTAGTTAATGGTTCAACAGGCTTTCGGTGGGCAAGGTAACAGTGACCTTACCTCAAAATCAATAGGGCCCATCAACTAGTTATACAAAGCTCCACGCCAAATCTTAGTACTGTGCAAAAATGTGCTCTAGTTATTGGTCAGACAAGCTTTTCAACAACATTTGACCCCACTGTGAATTTGACCTTTGACATACTGCCCTCAAAAAGCATAAGCCGGTCATCTTTAAGTCAAAACCATTCCCAAACCCAGATCTCAGGCCAAAATAGTCTCTAATTATTTGTTGGACAAACTTTCAGTGGATAATTTTTTAAGCCACAGTGATCTTGACCTTTGACTTAATGACCTCAAAAATTTATCACCATCTTCCAAATCTCTGGAATGTAGGCCAGTGTTCACAAGTTATTGGTCAGACAAGCTTTTAGCGGTCTGAAGGTTACTTTAAGCACTGTTTATTTATTTTCAAGTTATTGATCAGACAATCATGAGGTATAGTAAGTAAGGTTACCAAACATACTATTGTACATACAGTCTAACACACTAATGTACTAACATAGTCAATCACATGATATGATCTTATTTGTAAATCAGGGGCTATAACTCTACCTTGAATATAATTGTTTTTTCATGTAACTCCAAAACAACAAAGTTTCAGAAAAGTGGTTGTTTTTTTAACCAGGTGGCATAGCTCTGCCTATCTTCAATTTTCCCTGAAATACCTTGATGTATAAAGTTAAATGCTGACAACTTTTCATAGATAGTTTCACTGCTCTAGCAGTAATATTTTAGGAGTTATATACAACACAAGTCTAAAAATGCTATTTTGTTAAGGGGGGCACAACTCAGCCAACATTAAATCAAGCCATGTCAAAAAACTAAGGTAGGTAAATTCACATATTGACAACTATTGATACTAAGTTTTGTGGCTCTGGCAATTATACATTTGCAGTTATATATATACAAACTAAAGTTAACCTACAGACAAAAATAAATGTATAATTTGCCCTACCTATATAAGTGGAGAATAATAATTATTATTTTAAGAGCACCTGTGGCTATCATCACCTACTCTTAATACAGTGTTTGTTTTTTAATTAAGTGAAGAATAAGGTGTCACTGAAATGACCGTATGACATTTAGAAGATTGGCTTAAAGAATAACAAGATCTACAGTATCACCACCTACTCCTTCAGGTAATAAATATTCTAACAGTAAATTATATATACTATATAAAGGGCATGTTGTATATTACATGTATACTGTAATACAGCTTTCACCTATAAACTAATTGACATGTACTGTTATATTTCCAGTACAATCAGAAAATGTCTGTTCTTTTTCACATCAAACTGCATCAATTTCATGTGTTCCACAATATATAAATATTGTACTGCTGATATCATGGTATTACATAATGGCATAGAGGTATAATAATTATGTTACGCCCAATATCAAAAAATAATATTTATATAAAAACTACAAAATTAACAATTTTAACAACATAATTTATTATCATAATCCATGTTTATAGTTGAAACATCACTTTGGTGTGACAAAATAATTCTACATATCTATTTTGTTTTTATTTACCGTATATATATTTCTTGATAATACACATGAATCGTTTATACAGCCAGCACATTCAATTTTAGGTAAGAAATTCTTTTCCATTTCCACAATATTTCATACATTTGACCATGCATTTTTGTGACAGCAGTGTTTTTTTCATGAGGGTTTTTTGAACATGAGGGTTATTGTCTAGCAGACAATTGTAATGTTATAATTGCCCAACACATAAAAATTGTTTTATATTTAGTTGTATTTTATATTCTATTTCTATTATATAATAAGTCTATTTCTTGGTTAGATCACATGACACCAGCAAATGTATTCAGGGCAAATAAATTATATTGTATTCCAAGATATTTAATATTGATGATATATATGACAGTCTAGCTTTACTGGTACTACAGGCAGGAAAACTGTTTTCCAGAATCCCTGTATTCACTGTACCTTATTTTATGCATAAGCCTTACAACTTCTAAGTAGAGAGACTGTGTGTTCAAGCCCTACTCAGGACATGAGCAAGTGTCTTCATATGTTACTAATTCTGGTTAATTCCAAGTGGTGAACTCCAGAGTGCTTAAAAAAAGCTTAAAGCTTTGAATACATATGAGCTTTAAGTTTTCTTCAAATTCAATAGTAAAGCAAAAACATTTTAAAGCTTACTGACATGTAAAGAATTCAATGTAGGGCTCATGCAAAGTTAAAAATAGGTCTATATGTATTAAAAAAACACAAAAGTAATTTTCTATTCAAGATAAAATGGTTGCTTTAAATATAGTATAATTATATAATATAGAATATTTACCCAGTCACAACATGGTTCACCATTAGACTTTGCTGATATAGACTGGAATATATCCTTGATAAATGGCCTGAAAAAATACAACACTCAATATTTTAAATAAATAAGATAAGATTCACTTTCTACTCTTGTTGAGGGGTTTATTAAATATCAAAACAAAATATTGCTCACATAGAGCTGTAACACAAATGCATTTCACACTTTTCTTTAAATATTTTGTATAGAAGTTTTTTTTAAATGTTGCCTAGAAACATTTGTCAAGATATGAAACTGGCTCGCTACAGAATTTCAAATAAAAGAATTTGTCCCATTTTTAATATTTTGATGCAATTTCAGCAAATAAAATGCATGAATTTCAGAGAAGTAACACAAAATATTGACCATGTTCAACATTATAAGAGCCAAAAATATATTTCAATTTTTGTGTTCTCTTAAACTGACTTCAGTTTAGACTGTGTATGTATGCTTTTACATAGTAAACCCTATATTCCATCCAAATTGAAAGAAATATATCTCAGAAAAAAATCAAAGTTCAGAAATGCTGAACTACATTAATTATAGCATACAAGATTACTGATTGAAATAACTTATTTTTGGGAGTGGAATAATGGCTATATTTAAGTTTTCTCCTACATTTAATTAGAGAGTGATTCTTGTCAGCATTATACATGTACAAATGTATATCATCAGATTTTAATAAGAACTATAAACCCATGAACAAATTTTATTTAAACCCATGAACAAATTTTATTGCAAAAGGATCAATTCTCACTATTTTTTAAAGTTCGAAGACTACATCTAATGTTCAACTTACCAAGCTTCCCCAGCGCCCCCTGGCATAAGTGAGGGACCATACCTAGCCCCATCTTCTCCACCACTCACTCCACTACCCACATACAGAAGGTTTTTAGCTGCTAATTCTTTACATCTTCTCTAAATTTGTATCATATTTTAGTTAGCCAACTGACAATAAGGCTTGGCAGAGTCTCAATTACCAAACACAATCAAACAATATACAAGGATTTTTGTTGAAGCATTAACCCTTTCGCTGCCAGAGGGTTATTTATTTAATGATCATCTATTTGCCATAATGCCGCCCCTATGGCAGTGAAAGGGTTAATTGAATGCTTTCTAACTATGACTATAATGACTTTAGTGTCCAACTTTATTTGTCATCCAATGAAAACACTGCATTTCTTAAAAAATCTGTGCGTTAATTTTCATAGAAGTACAAAAGTCGATACTATATCGAATTCCGTCCATAGTCGACTTCTATTTTTCATAGTACTTCATAAAACCGCATAATGACGTAATAAAGTGAATGATAATGAGGCCAAATAAAGCTTGACACTAAATATGTTAGTGTTCATCCGTGCTGTTCTACAGAAATTAGAAACATTCTCCTGTCGCTATCGCTCCCGTCAAAGTTTCTAATTTCTATTGTTTTTTCAACAGCACGGATGAATACTAACATATACATAGAGAATGTTTGCGTGAGGATTTAGAAATAGTATTAAAGGCACATTATGCCCCAGAAATTCATATTTTATCTTTTTTAATTCTTTAGAAACGTGAACCATGTATTTAAAAATGTTAAAGCTACATTTAATAAATTTCATAAAAACAGAAATAGTGACATTTCATTAATAACTTGGGTTTCATATCGAGCCCAGATCTTTTTATGGTGTCCAGACAACATAAATGAGTTTTATAAGCATAAAAATATGCAACCACATTGTGGCAAAACTGGAAGTACAATTTCTGTTTGCATGAGAAATTCCGCCTTCGGATCATCTGTACATCAATATTAATTCAACAAACATGGCTATTATAAAAAGTAGCAGTCCTAATTTAAGGTATATTTCCACAATGTAATGGATGTTTTCATACAAATTGAATCTTTTTTATTAGATGATTACTTTTTTACTGAATCTAGTGTCCTGTGAAGCTAAAACAGTTAAAGTGTGTTTGCACAAGAAAATCTCATATTTCCTGTGTTCTGGATAGCAACTATATCACTGTGACGTAGCGCATACACAAGCATTTGCATTTTTACGAACTTTAGTGTTACCGTGGGGTTTTCTGATTAAAATCGTAATTTATGAACAATATTTGATGAGATTTTCAACAATACTGTTAAAAAGGTAATGCTCGCATGGTTTTAAGGCCGACGGCAAAATATTTTTACATATATTTATTTAATGCAGCTTCAAATTAATATAAATTTTAGAGCTAGTTTGATATTTAACAACTGAAGAAAGTAACGCAAAATGTGCAGTAATGTGTCACAAATGTAGCAAAATGTAAACAAAGTAGTATTTTAATTTCCATACAAAATAACTTATTCACTATAATTTTACCAATTGCCATATAATTATATTATAATGAATGTTTTAATGTTTTTGTTTGTTATTTGAATAAACAGAAATTAATAAGAGTTATATTTACACATTAATACTTCATGAAATATTGAGGGTCGCTTTAATACATTAATACACTAATACATTACAGTTCCAAAGTGTGGAAAACAATACAAGGGGCTTTAAACGTTATGTAACTGCTGTAAATATGCCTGGCTCCAATTGAAGCTGGCTTTGAAGATAATGTCAAGTTATTTTTTACTAAGAAACATTTAGAAAATCAACTATTGTTTAAATACCAAGATGCAATCATGTTAAACAGCAATACAGACAAGATAATAAGTATTAATACTAGTTGGAATTTTTTTATTTTACTTTCTGACTCAGATTGAATTATTGACTGTTTGTTTATAAATTGACTTACATTGGTGTCCCTGTATTCTGAATTTCCACCATCAATAATTATATCTCCCTTTTCCAAAAGTGGAACCTAAAAAATGATTTTATAAAATGACAAAAACCTTTGTTAACTATTAACATTATATCAAAGACTGTTTTTTATTTCGATGTATCATGACAATGAAGATTTAAATAATTATTATAATGTTTTATGTTTAAAACATCAATGTGCTGTTGAAGAAAAAATTTGAGCTATTGCTACAGTCAATTTATCCCTTCCCATTGTATTATATAATAATTGCATTAGGTTTACATGTATTTAAATAAATAATAATCATATGAATCTCTCACCAGTTTCTCGATGAAAGCATCAACTGCTTGACCAGCTTTGACAAGAAGCATAACTCTACGTGGCTTCTTTAACTTCGATACCATATCTTCTAATGATGTTGCTCCAATGATGTTCGTCCCTTTTGCCTCATTTGCTAAGAACTGTTCAACTTTTGATACAGTCCTATTAAATGCCACAACCTGATATAAATTGTTTGAAAATATAACTAGTAGCTTAAGAGAACTATATTGAGAGAGAACTTTGTAAGGATACAGTATACAAAGTTAAGAAAGAAAATATTTCAAATTTTTTTTACCATTATGGTGAAGGGTGAAAAAAACTATACTAGAAAGATATCAGATGTCTGTGCTAAGGAGTAAGGTATATACTGTGTATTCCTTATTTATGAGACATTACTCAAATGCACTAAAATCATTTCCACTACACTGTATTAATTGTCATTTGCTTATTTCCTTTTTGCTAAGATGTCATTGAACCAATTCAAACTTTAAAATGCAAGTCTTGATATTCTAGCACAGCGAGCATTACAGACAAACAAAAGAGACATGAAACACAACAAACAAGATTGAAAACAAAAGGGGAGCTAAACTGACAGACAAAAAAATGCAAAACAAAAATAAAATCTAACTCACTGACAGCACAAAACTGTATACAATGGGACAGCTTAACTGACAACACAAGATATCAAACAAGGGGAAAGTTAACTGACAACACAAGATGTCAAGCAAGGGGAAAGTTAAATGACAACACAAGATGTCAAACAAGGGGAAAGTTAAATGACAACATAAGATGTAAAACAAAGGGAAAGCTTAACTTACAACACAAGATGTAAAACAAGGGGAAACCTTAACTGACAACACAAGATGTAAAACAAAGGGAAAGCTTAACTGACAACATCAAAGGGACAGCTTAACTGACAACACAAGATGTCAAACAAGGAAAAATTTAAATGATAACACAAGATGAAAAACAAAATGACAGCTTAACTGACAACACAAGATGTCAAACAAAGGGAAAGCTTAACTTACAACACATGATGTCAAACATAATGACAGCTTAACTGACAACACAATATGTCAAACAAGGGGAAAGTTAAATAACAATACAAGATATCAAACAAGGGGAAAGCTTAACTTACAACACAATATATCAAACAAAGGGTTAAATTAACTGACAACACAAGATGTAAAACAAGGGGAAAGTTAAATGACAACAAAAGATGTCAAACAAGGGGAAAGCTTAACTGACAACACAAGATGTCAAACAAGGGAAAGCATGACTGACAACACAAGATGTCAAACATAGGGAAAGCTTAACTTACAACACAAGATGTTAAACATAATGACAGCTTAACTGACAACACAAGATGTTAAACAAAGGGAAAGCTTAACTAACAACACAAGATGTCAAACAAGGGGTAAGTTAAATGACAACACAATATGTCAAACAAGGGGAAAGCTTAACTGACAACACAAGATGTCAAACAAGGGAAAGCATGACTGACAACACAAGATGTCAAACATAGGGAAAGCTTAACTTACAACACAAGATGTTAAACATAATGACAGCTTAACTGACAACACAAAATGTTAAACAAAGGGAAAGCTTAACTAACAACACAAGATGTCAAACAAGGGGTAAGTTAAATGACACCACAAGATGTCAAACAAAGGGAAAGCTTAACTTACAACACAAGATGTCAAACAAGGGGAAAGTTAAATGACAACACAAGATGTCAAACATAGGGAAAGCTTAACTTACAACACAAGATGTTAAACATAAGGACAGCTTAACTGACAACACAAGATGTCAAACAAAGGGAAAGCTTAACTTACAACACAAGATGTCAAACAAGGGGAAAGTTAAATGACAACACAAGATGTCAAACATAGGGAAAGCTTAACTTACAACACAAGATGTTAAACATAAGGACAGCTTAACTGACAACACAAGATGTCAAACAAAGGGAAAGCTTAACTTACAACACAAGATGTCAAACAAGGGGAAAGTTAAATGACAACACAAGATGTCAAACATAGGGAAAGCTTAACTTACAACACAAGATGTTAAACATAATGACAGCTTAACTTACAACACAAGATGTCAAACATAATGACAGCTTAACTTACAGCACAAGATGTTAAACATAAGGACAGCTTAACTGACAACACAAGATGTGAAACAAAGGGACAGCTTAACTGACAACACAAGATATCAAACAAAGGGACAGCTTAACTGACAACACAAGATGTCAAACAAAAAGACAGCATAACTGACAACAAAAGATATCAAACAAAGGGACAGCTTAACTGACAACACAAGATGTCAAACAAAAAGACAGCATAACTGACAACAAAAGATATCAAACCAAGGGACAGCTGAACTGCCAAAACAAGATGTCAAAGGAAGAGACAGCTTAACTGACAACACAAGATGTCAAACAAAGGGACGGCTTAACTGACAACACAAGACGTCAAAAGAAAGAACAGCTTAACTGACAACACAAGATGTCAAACAAAGGACAACTAAATGACAAAACAAAACAAAGCGGAAGCTTAACTGATAACTGTTGATTACAATGAAAGAGAAAGCTTAATGGTAAAACAACAAAGCTACTAAGACAACACTAGAACTCCGCGAGTCGGATGTGTCGCCTTATGAACAATGTAGTTTTAGGAGAAATGGCCAGGACAAAAATGAAATATGAAAAATAACAAAGGGCAATAACTAAAAAAATAATAAGTGCAGAGCAGCATATCTGTGCACTGCACTTCTTATCAATAAGATCTATCATTCTATGATGTTTCAAGTCCATAGCTTTCATACTTGAGGAGAAATGACCAGGACAAAAATAAAGTAAGAAAATCAACAAAGGGCAATAACTCAAAAAATAAGAAATGCAGAGTATCAGTTCTTATGCACTGCACTTTTCTTAATGAGATCTATCATCCTATGAAGTTTCAAGTCCATAACTTTTATACTTTCGAAGAAATGGCCTGGACAAAAATAAAGTATGAAAATTAACAAAGGGGAATAACTCAAAAATTAGGATGTGCAGAGTACCGGTTCTTGTGCACTGCACTTCTTCTTAATGAGATCTATCATCCTATGAAGTTTCAAGTCCATAGCTTTTTTAGTTGAAGAGAAATGGCCCGGACAAAATTAAAGTATGAAAATTAACAAAGGGCAATAACTCAAAAAATAAGAACTGCAGAGTACAGGTCCTTGTGCACTGCACTTCAGGTTATTGAAAGAAGCATGCATACCAAGTTTGAAGTCAATCAGACTTATAGTGACTGAGTTATGCTCCGGACAAGCTTTAGGGGACGCCGACAACGACGCCGACACAGACGCCGCCGCCGCCGCCGACAAAAGTAACCCCTATATGTCACCTTTTCAAGGCGACACAAAAAGATGACAAAGGAAAGAAGTGATCACATGACAACACAAGATGACAAAGACTTGGAGAGCTTCACAAAAGGCAATCAAAGGAAGATTGACAAAGACAATATAAAGTGGCAAACAAATGGAGAGGTTAGTGATAATACACAATTAACAAAGGGTGAAATTCCCTTTTAGATAAAACAAGATGAAATAACTGATCATCATGATTATCAAGAGTGCCTTGCATATTTTTAGAAACACTGTTTTAGTAAGTGATATATTTATTAAATCATTCTAAACACCACATTGTTACATTCATCAAAACAAGCACATCAATTGAAAATTAATAAGAACCACTAAGCACATCCAAAAGAACAGAACTGTGGTATTTGATAATAAATTGTTTAACTAATTACTAGGTATGAAATGTTTATGATACTTTTCTCAAGTAATATGAGAGCAGGCTTTTCACTGCTCTGCTTTTTATATAAAGATTTTATTTCTATTGATGTGATATTATTGGACTAAGAATTATTGTCTTACACCTGTTATATACGTCATTTGCTATAGGAACTGTCAAATTAAAAGCAGAAAAAGGTGATATTCAATAAACAGTGTTTCTTTTCCTTATATAACTGATACCGGAAAACGGCACCGTTCCCAATAGAAAATAGACAGATCATTTCCCAATTCATAACTGATAAATTCAGCAAAATAACACTGAAAATTTCCTAAAAAAATGGCAAATTTAAAGGTAAACAAAGCAGTAATGGATGCTTCCATATTGGTAAGCCGCTTAGCGATATACAATAAAAACCAAGTATAACCACATGAGTGATATTCTTACCCAGTTCATGTAAGGTATTTCTATTTTTAGCTTTAGAGGCCCCTAAAAGGTGCCTATCAAATTAATATGAGCACACTTGATAAAAGACTAACTAAGAATGCTACAGACAAAGTTTGGTGATCATCTATCAATTATTTCAGTAGGAAATGATATTAAAAGGTTTTTCTAAGAAAATCAAGGCCTTTGGGGTTGAAATTTGTCCCCTGATTACGCTCCCCAATTAATATATGTTGTTCCCCTATTTCTCAATAAATCTCCCCCTCAAAAAAAAGGAAGTTTCACCTGCCTAAAGCAGAAGACCTTAACAATTTCATATGATGTTTGCTTTCTTGTAAAAAAGAATATCATTATGAGTATCTTTGTCAATTGACATTAATTCCCCCTTTTCTTCAACAAGGACACAAAATTCTCCTACCTGAGGCCCCAGGGCCCAGTCTCCTTTAAGATAATTAGGTTGAAGAAATATATACATTGTAATATTCTTACTGTAAACTTGTGGTCATTCATATTTAGGATGAGATTCTGACCCATAACTGCCAGACCAATCAGTGCAATATCTCCTCTGAAATAAACAAATATAATACTATGATATATTACTTATACAAGGTAAATATATGATTCATACAAGGTAAAATATATGTCATATACAAGGTAAATATATAACTTATACAAGGTAAATATATGACTTATACAAGGTAAATATATGACTTATACAAGGTAAATATATGACTTATACAAGGTAAATATATGACTTATACAAGGTAAATATATAACTTATGCAAGGTAAATATAATTATGACTTATACAAGGTAAATATATGACTTATACAAGGTAAATATAATTATGACTTATACAAGGTAAATATATGACTTATACAAGGTAAATATAATTATGACTTATACAAGGTAAATATATGACTTATACAAGGTAAATATATGACTTATACAAGGTAAATATAATTATGACTTATACAAGGTAAATATATGACTTATACAAGGTAAATATATGACTTATACAAGGTAAATATAATTATGACTTATACAAGGTAAATATATGACTTATACAAGGTAAATATATGACTTATATTCTTTGGCTTATACAATTTAGGTATATATGACTTATACAAGATAAATATATAACTTATATCAGATAAATATATGACTTATACAAGGTAAATATTGAATTTATACTATATAACATATAAAAGGTAAATATAGGACTTGCATGTTTACAAGGTAAATATAGAACTTGAAGTGACGGCATGGCCGTGTCAGGTCAATACTTCAGACTAGTAATCTAATGATCGCTAGCACAACTAGGGATAGAAATGAACACTCCAGGGGCCTGTCTTATCAACAATCATACGACCGTTTTTAGCGTACGACTGTCATACGTCGATCGTACGATTTTGGCGGTGTCTTATCAAACGTCGCAGAATTCCTTAATCGTACGATTATCGTAAGATCGTGCATTTTTTCTACGATCGCTGAGAAGCAGTCGTAGATCAAACAAATGGCTATGCTTCAAGGCCGTAGAAAAAGTAGGCCTTTCAGGCATCAAGTGCAACTATTGGATTGCCCGAGTGGTCATTTAGTTGTGGCCGACTATCAGCTTGGTTAATTTTCATTAAAGAAACCTATGATCTTAAGATCTTGATTAAGTTTCAACAACTTAATTGCATATTATACTTTAATTAACAAATTTTGAAACTGCTTCCTTAATAATATTATTCATAAAATAAAAATGTTGCTTACAATAATTCTCACCATGAGAGAAAATAATATAAATAAAACTAAAATTCCTGTGTAGAAAAAAATGAAAATAAATAGATATTTTTTGAGGGGGTCAGGGGAGGAAAATGAGTGAGAACTGTCAGACGGAGGAACTGGTTAGGGTGAGAATAGTCTGTCATTCATCCAAGACATGTGTGTTTCTTTTTCTTTCTGAAAGATGAGCAGTTTGTTCTGAAATGTGGAGCAGTAAATTCATGTAAAAATAGAAATTAGAAAGTGGTAAATGATGATTTATCTTTATACTGCTTTAATCTAGCCCCAATAAACACATTTAGATATAATGTAAGACTGTTATTAATTGTCTTTAGTACTAAACAACAGATAATGCAAAAAATCAAATATAACTACATGTACATGAACAAGTTGGCTTGTAATACATGTCTGCAAAATTCATTTTCACTATATATCTATATTGTCTGCGTTTCTCGCAGGTACTATATACGCTATATCGTGTGCATTTTACTCCAGGTTTATTAGCAGTATAGAACAATTATAGTAAAATGCAGACAATATAGAGTATATAGTAATTGCAAGAAACCCAGACAATATAGATATATATAGTGATTTGATATTGTATATGTATTGTTTTCTTTAATGATAATTAGTCTATTTTTACATCACATTGTTGTTTTTTTTTTAAATAATTATAAATGATTTATAACATTGTTTAATTAACTATTTAATGATTACTTTGTAGATGGACTACGTATAAAAATCAAATAAAAATATGTTTTGTTTTTTAAATTTGTTTTGAAATTTACTTTATTGTCCCCATTAAAATTCTGCTTATTAAAGTTAACAAAACTTATATTAGACATTTTCTCTTAAATTCATTAAAGTTAATACAAATCAAGCATAGTATGTCAAAATATCTTTTTAATATCACTTTTTATTATTTCTTAATTTATATCAGCCATTTTGTGCCGGCAATATGCACAACAAGGAATGGTACTGATCACTCCTGTAGAGTTTGGTTGAAATCCCACAATCAGTTGACCAATGAAAGCTGTCTGTCTGTCCATCCGTCTGGTCGTCCGGCATGTTCAGCTTTGCTGCACATAATGGCTGCCAGAGCTAAAAATAGAAAAATCTTGTCCGACTCAAACTACTGCTGGGATTTCAACCAAACTTTACAGGAAATATCAGTACCATCCCTAGTTGTGCACATCGCTGGCGCTGGCACGTTCCAGCTTTCACAGGTCAAACTACTGTAGGGATTTCAACCAAACTTTACAGGAGTGATCAGTACCATCACTAGTTGTGCATATCACCAGCATACATAATTATAATGTATGTAAAACTCTAATTAGAGGATTTTTATTGATACAGAAAGAAAAAGATATTCAGTATGTAAAGAAAGACAACTTGTGTATCTTTAAGTCTATTTGTAATAACCAGAGTGATCTCCCTGACATTATTAACATACTTGTCTGTTTTTGTTGTGAGACATTAACAATCACAAGTTTTTGGAAATAAATGCTTCTTATTAAGTAATAGTCTGGGAATGATGCCACCAGGAAACAGGAAACTTAAGTGCTCACAGTGTAAGTTTGGATTGAGATCAATTAATTCTATTTTCAGCTAGCTATTTCATACCAATGACAATTATTAAATAGCCATTGCTACAACATGAACAAATCACTCCCCTCTGTTTTGTGCACATTAAAAGAAATGAGACAAGGGACTATATTCTGTAATATTCTGGACTGCATCTTTTTAAAAAAAAATCTTAAATGTATCTGAAGTCATAGGACATTATTTTAAGACCAACTTTAGGACTCTAATCTTAGGATAATTTCAATAAACATTTTTATCTGAAGTAAAATACATTAAATTTAAATTAAATTTGTTATTATAAGTTACAATAGCACAGGGTTCAAACTGCAATATGTTTATGTGCATCTGTATTGCTATTCAGCATTGTATATAGTCATAAATCAGAGTTATAATAATCTTGTTTCAGGTTTGGTCTGTAGAGGAACTATTATTTCTATGAAGTAAAAATAAAGCCCTCTTAATAATGAAGGAGTCAGACATACAACATTATCAAATTCTTAACAATGCATAAACAAGAAATGTGTCAATAGGAGACTGGTGTCCCCACACTCCACTGTTTTGTCAATCTTTTAACTCTAGGTCAAATATTTTTTGGGCTACATGTGACACAAGTTGAAAACTAAAAATCTTTTTCTAAGTCCAGGGCAAGAACTTTACAAATACTGAATAAATCCACAAGCAAACCCCAAGGTGCATTATAAAGTACACATGCTGACCAGCATTCTTGTGAAGTTGAAAATTGCAAAGTTATACTAAGTCAAGTGCAATTACTCTAACAAAACTGAGACAAAAAATCCACATGCAAAACAGCTTCACAGTGAAATGGATTATTATTCCTCTTAAGGTGGTTAATTCTAACTCAAGTACTCAAGGAACACATAACACAACATAATGGAACGGTTTTTACTAAGTCAAGGGCAATTACTCTTTAAATACTGAATAAATACACAATCAAATCCCCAAGTGCACAACTGCACATGCCTCCAACATTTCTATTAAGTTTCATGACTTTAGGTCAAATACTTTTTGAGCAACACACAACCGAAGTTAAAAATTGCAAATTTTAACTAATTCAAGGTCAACTAGAACTTTGTGAATCAGATGTATCCCCTCGTTAACAGTTTAGCTGTCACTCAGGCATTTTTTATTAAACATAGGTCATTTATATTAACACTGCTCTTGCAGTATGTACATGTACCTTTAACTTTAGTGGCATTTGAACTGATTGTAACAATGTTACAATAGGATAAATAAAACTGTTATATTATCAAAAATAATTAGAGCTATCACTGAAGGTGATTTATACCCCCACCAGCAACTTTGACTTTTTGCAAAATAAGTGGTCTGAAGAAAAATTTGAATTCGACCTATAGTAAATGAAGTATCAACTGTGTACAAAGAATTATTTCAATTAATTGCAATCCCAAACTGGGTCTTCATATAACACCAAGTTTGATTATAATATCTCATTCCTACCTCTAGTTATTATCTGGAAACAATTTTCTATTTTAAGTAACAGTGACCTTTTACCCAGGGGGTCCAAATGAATACCAAACAGGGGTCTTCCTAACTCTAGTAATTGTCCGGAAACTCTAGTTATTGTCTGGAAACCATTTTTCTATTTTTAGTGATGGTGGCCTTGACCTTAACACCAGGGGGTCCAAATGCAATACCAACTAGGGTCTTCATATAAGCTTGCTTATAATAATACACCAAGTTTGATTCCTAACTCTATTTATTGTCTGGAAACTATTTTTCTTTTATTTAGTAACAGTGACCAATTAACCTTGACCCCAGGGGGTCCAAATGCAATACCAAGTGGGGTCTTCATATAAGCTTGCTATACACCAAGTTTGATTACAAAATCTCATTCCTAATTCTAGTTATTGTCCAGAAACCATTTTTCTATTTTAAGTTACTATCCAAATGCAATACCAACCGGGGATTCCACATAAAGAGTACCAGATTTTGTTGCCTGCACTTCATCTCATCCTATAAGCTTTCAAGTTCATAGCTTTTATGGTTTAGGAGAAATGGCCTGGACAAAAATAAAGTATGAAAATTAACAAAGAGCAATAACTCAAAAAATAAGAAATGCAGAGTAATGATTCTTGTGCACTGCACTTTGGGTCATTGAAAGAAGCATCCAATACTTTTTGAGCTATCAAGATGATAAAGATGAAAATTGCCCATTTCTACTAAGTCAAGGGCAATACCTCTGACAAAACAGAATAAATCCACAAGCGAAACCCAGGGTGCACAACCTCACATGCTGTAAAGTTTCAT